TGTGCTTGGGCCATCCTCCACTGCTTTTCCAGGCACATTAGAAGGGAGCTGAATTGGAAGTGAAGCAGCCGGGACTCAAACCAGTATCCATGTGGGATGCCAGCACTGCAGATGGCAGTTTAACTCATTCTTCTTAAATAAAAGGGATGGAAATAAGGGAATCATCATCAAATAGAAATATCTATAGATGTCAACCAGTAGAAATACACTCAATTATGAACTAGAGACTTTTTTGTGGTTTTTCTGTTGAAGTACAACATCTATGTGGTATACATATTATCAGTGTATAGTTTATAAATTTTCATAAATATACCTATGGAACCTATACCTAAGTTGAACAATAGTGAAAAACCAGCATCCTAATCACTCTCTAAAACAACCTTGCACAAGTACCTCAAAAGAGTGTCAACCTCCCACCTGACTTTTGGCACCATGTTTTGAGTCCTTTCTTCACTTTATGCAAATGGAATTATACAACATATATTCTTTTGTATCTGGCTTCCTTAGTCAACACTGTTTTTGCGAGATTCACCTAGATTATTGGCTGTTAAATAATTGATCTTGTTGCTGTATATTACTCTTTAATTTTTTTAAAGATTTGTTTATTTATTTGAAAGTCAGAGTTAGAAAGAGAAGGAGAGGCAGAGAGAGAAGGAGAGGCAGAGAGAGAAGGAGAGGCAGAGAGAGAGAGAGAGAGAGAGAGGCCTTCCATCCGCTGGTTCACTCCCCAGTTGGCTGCAATAGCTGGAGCTGTGCCAGTCTGAAGCCAGGAGCCAGGAGATTCCTTTGGGTCTCCCATGTGGGCGCAGGGGCCCAAGTACTTGGGCCATCTTCTACTGCTTTCCCAGGCCACAGCAGAGAGCTGGATTGGAAGTGGAGCAGCTGGGTCTCAAACCGGCACCTGTATGGGATGCCGGCACCTCAGGCAGCAGCCTTACTTGCTACACCACAGCACTGGCCTCCACTCTTTGTTTATTTATTTATTTATTTATTTATTTTTAATTTGTTTGAGAGAGAGAAAGCTCATGCTCCCATTTGCTGGTTCACTCCCCAAATGCCTGCAGTGACCAGCCTGGGCGAGGGTTGATATTGACAGCTGGTAAAACAATGCAGGCCTCCAAAATGGAAGGAACCCAACGACTTGAGCCATAACTACTGCTTTCCAGAGTCCACAGGAGCAAGAAGCTGGAATCAGGAGCTGGACCTGGAAATCAAACCCAGACTCTCTGATGTGAGATATGAATGTCCTAATTGGTATCCTAAATGGCAAGCCAAACACTTGCCCCCATGTAATATTCTATTATATGAGACACTGAAGTTTATCGGTTTTAAAGTTATTCTTTGACTTGGGGGCCAACGCCGTGGCTCACTTGGCTAATCCTCTGCCTGCAGCGCCGGCATCCCATATGGGTGCCAGGTTCTAGTCCCGGTTGCTCCTCTTCCAGTCCAGCTCTCTGCTGTGGCCCAGGAGTGCAGTGGAGGATGGCCCAAGTGCTTGGGCCTTGCACCCACATGGGAGACCAGGAAGAAGCACCTGGCTCCAGGCTTCGGATCAGTGCAGCACAGGCTGTGGCGGCCATTTGTGGAGTGAACCAACAGAAGGAAGACCTTTCTCTCTTTGTCTCTCACTGTCTACAACTGTTTCTTTCAAATAAATTTTTTTAAAAAAGTTATTCTTTGACCAATGAAACATTCTTAACATATCTGCAGCTTCACACTAAAAGCCATCCATGAAGGGAAAGACTGGTAAGTTGGACCTCATCAAAATTGAAACTCTTATTCTGTGAAAGCTGATATGAAGAGGAGAAAAAGACAAACTGTACACTTAGGAAATCATTTCAAACTCCTTATATGAGAAAAGGCTTGTATTGAGAATATACAAAGAACCATCAAAATTCAGTAGTAAAAATCTAAGTATTCCAGTTAGAAAATGGGTGAAAAATATGGGCAGACATTTCACTAAAGATTATGTTGACATTTCATTTCAACAAGTTTCCCCTTTGGTGCTCAGTTAGTTGTCGCTGATCAGAGAGAACATATGATATTTGTCCCTTTGGGACTGGCTTAATTCACTCAGCATGATGTTTTCCAAATTCCAAGTACATACAAAAATCATAGCTATTTAGGAAATGAAAATTAAAATCACATAGCTATCATTATACACTTACCAGAATGGCTATATAAGAAATAGCAACAATACAAAATGCTGACAAAGAAGCAGAGAAACTGAATTGCTCATACATTGCTGGTGTACATATGAAATGGCACAGCTTTTCTGAGAAAGACTTAAGCAGTTTCTCATGAAATCAAACATACAGTTACTACTTGGTTCACCAATTACACTGCTGAGCTTTTATTCCAGGGAAATAAGAACATTTGTTATGTAAATACATGCACACATATGTTCTTGGGAGTTTTGTTTAAAATAGTCAAAACCTGGTTCAGCCCAAATGTCTTTCAGTGGATGAATAGTTAAGCATACTGTGGTATATTATATTTCAGAATACTAGTCAGCAACAAAAAGGGGCAGAGTACTGATACAGGCACCACACTGGGAGGAATCTTAAAGGACTTATACAGAGGGGAAAAGTCCATTCCCAAAGCTTTCATACTGTGTGATTCCATTTATAGAACATCCTCAAAATTGCAAAGTTAGAGAAACAGAACAGACAATGGTTGCGGGGGTGAACAGACAATGGTTGCAGGGGTTTACAGACAGGAGGGGACGAGAAGGAAGTGTTGCTGTCCTTGTGGTGATGGATCTGTCCAGTATCTTGGCTACCATTCCATTTATACCTGTGATAAAATTATATAGTTACACACAGAGATGCACAGGAGTTAGTAAAACTAGGAGAATCTGAATGAGTTTTGTGATTTGTACTGTCAGTCTCCTGATTGTGACATTATACTTTAGTTTTCAACATGCAATCCTTGAGGAACACTGAATAAATGACAGGTGGGCTCTCTAATTTTTCTTTCTTTAAATATTTTATTCATTTATTTGAGAGGTAGAATTATAGATGGAGAGAGAGATTTTCTATCTGCTGGTTCACTCCCCACATGGCCCTGATGGTCGGAACTCGGTCAGTTCAAAGCCAGGAGCTTCTTCCGGGTCTCCCACATGAGAGAATGTTCTATAAATGGAATCATACAGTATGATAATAATATTAGTATTTATAAAAGACTTTGGGAGGGTGTTTTGAAGAATGCAATTATTGGGACAAGTAAGCATATAATAAAATAGCAAATTTTGGTCAGAAAATGGATGAGCAAGAGAACAAGGCTTTTGAAAAGAGAAATTACTGGGTAATGTCAAACTATGCCCAGTGAGGATGTGCTGAGGGCTGGATGGCAGGAAGCTTTGCCCTGTCTTTGGAAAATGCCTGCCAAGGATAAGTTTGTCAAGCCCTGAACCTGAAGAATTCTGTTCCCAGGGCTCTGGGTATGTTTCACTGCAGCAACTAAAGAGAGCAACATACAAAGCAACAGGGCTGTCACTACAGGATTAAACATCCTTAAAGTAATGAGCCCTCCAAAAGCAGTCAACACACCATCCGCTTCTGAGGATTTTATCAGAAATGTAAATTTGTGGTAGCAAAGGACTGGGTGCAGAAGTCACAGAAACATAGCAATGAGTGGGCTGATTCTAAGAAGGCAGCTGGCACAAAAGAACAGACAATCATGTTAAAGTCCTCTTAAAGAGGACTATTCCAAATATTTCTAATGAAGAGTTGAGATTGGGGTAAGAAATCTGGTTCTCTAACCAAGCCAGAAAGTGGCCCTATCACCACCACTACGACAGAACAACTATAATTAGAAAATATTCCACATGGGAGATTTTATGAGTCATGTTTGATTTGGAACCTGACATCTCATCAAGATGCAGATTATGGAGGAAATGAAGAGTGACTAAAGGGAATATAGGCATTTTGTGTGTAATACCTGGAATCCAAAAAAAATGCTTTATTTTACTGATAACTCATACAAGTCCCCCAGTATGGTAACTGGCACAGGGTGGAAACTAAGTAAATCTTAGTTGGAAGAAAAGGGAAAAAAGGAAGAAAATGATGGAAAAGAGTTTTGGGCTGAATATATATACCTAAAGATCAATTTAAAGGGCACTTTTTTCCTCAAAGATTTATTTATTTATTTATCTGAAAGGCAGAATTACATAAAGAAGAACAGGCAGAGGCAGAAGTCTTCCATCTGCTGGTTTGCTCCCCAAAAGGCCACAATGGCCGGAGCTGGGCCAATCTGAAGCCAGGAGCCAGGAGCTCCTTCCAGGTCTCCCACATGGGTGCAGGGGCCCAAGTTCTTGGGCCAAGGACATGGGCCATCTTTCTCTGCTTTCCCAGGCCATAGCAGAGAGCTGGATGGGAACTGGAGCAGCCGGACTCGAACCGGTGCCCATATGGGACGCCAGCACTGCAGGTGACGGCTTTACCTGCTATGCCACAGTGCTGGCCAATAAAGGGCACATTTGATTAGAAAGTTAAATAAGCAGGAGACATTAGCATTACTTCACTCACTTCATAACTTTTTTAAAAAAATTTATTTATTTATTTGACAGGTAGAGTTATAGACAGTGAGAGAGAGAGAGAAAGATCTTCCTTCTGTTGGTTCACTCCACAAATGGCTGCCACAGCCAGTGCTGCACTGATCCAAAGCCTGGAGCCAGGTGCTTCCTCCTGGTCTCCCATGCAGGTGCAGGGCCCAAGTACTTGGGCCATCCTCCATTGCCCTCCTGGGCCACAGCAGAGAGCTGGACTGGAAGAAGAGCAACCAGGACTAGAACTTGGTGCCCATATGGGATGCCGGCGCTGCAGGCAGAGGATTAGCCAAATGAGCCATGGCACCGGGCCCCTCACTTAATAACTTCTAAGCCTCTCTTCCAAAATAGCCTATTGGTCATTGAGTAAAATAGGTACTGTGTTTAGAATAATTTCAGAAATTTACAATTATGTAAGTCATACACTGAAATATCTCTGTTTCTCCCACAGCAAACTCTGGACAAGGAAGGGAAGAGCATGGTTACACTACTCAGTGAATACCATGTCCTCATGAGCCTTTGACTTAAGCAATAGAAACAGGTCATGATTATTGAGTAGGCATGGCAGTTCAGCTGAAGGATGATCAATGAACTTCAACCCAGATGCAGAGCTTGACTGGCAGAAAAGAATTCTTATTCAAGGTAATTGGGAATTTGAATCGGACTTCTGATATTAGAAAGTGAGAAATGTTAAGTATTCCGAAATGGGGGGTGGGAGGGGTGGGGAGGGAACTGTTTTTGGTGGAGTCCATCCTTTCAACCTGAGTGTCTTTGAAGGCTGACAATTTAGAAGTTAGCATTTTCAAATGATCTCTTTCAGCTTAGATTTTTATCAATATTCTTTGTTATTACTTAGTATGTTTTCTCAGAAAGAGGCTAAAAATTGCCTTCTTTCCTCCAGGAGAGTGTAACGGAGCATTGTAAAGGTTTCCTGCCAAAAGCATGGAGCCTCTGATAAGTAATCTCATCCTTCGCCCATGATAAATACGCTATTAAAAATAAAGAAAAAAAGAAACAGTTGGAATGTCTGAAATGCACAGACAATGTTGTGGAAACCTCATTTGTAAGACCACAAGTCTTCCCCATTGTTTAGCCACAATGCTGAATCTTCTCTATTTATATTTTTGTTCGGGGATTTTTTCTCTTCCCCAGGCTGAAGTGCTTTGTGCAGGAGACTGAAAAGCTGCCAGGACTAGTCCATCTGGCTGGCCAAATGGATTGTGCTCACTGGAGCAAGGCCAGATGGATACCAGTAGAAAGTTTAATTTCAGGACAGTCTAAAACCCCCAGCTCCTTTCTCCGTTTAAGGGAGACCACATTTCTCTTTCCCAGAAACTATTGGCATAAGAGATGTCACCCTGTCTTGCCTCCTATAATCTTGATTCCAGTCTCTAGGGATCACCCAGCTCAGATGTAACCTCTTTTCTCTATCATGTCCAAAGCAGAGAAGTGAGTTTGAGGAAAAGAATTATGGAAAGTGAAAAATCACTATGTTACATTTGATTACATTTGTTTGACCTTGAACAATCCTAGGAGCCGTAGTAGTCACTTCAGTTAAGTAATTTAGTTTAAATTGCTTAATTAAGAAATAAAATTTCATGGAATTCCCTAGATTAATTTGCACTTATACTTAAGAGCATCAACATTTATAATCAATTTAAAGAAGAAATAGTCCTGAAGTATTTTATAGTTTGCCATGAAATCTAATTGGATTCATTTGGGCTGAAATAGGAAATACAGAGAGATCTGATATATTTTTAATTTCCCACATCTTAAGGACAATAATGGGCATTTAATCTTTGGGAAGCACTGCATTTTAGACTTGAAATGGCAGTAACTGGGGATTTCAGAAATAAACTGACTGACTCCCTCTGTGTTCCAACTTTTCAGGAAAGGCACTTGGCAGGGCCAGGTTGCAGCTGGAACCCACAGGCAGTTGGCCTAGGCATTGTCAGAGGAGACAGGCAATGAGTGGGCCCTGTTTCCATGAGGGCCTGCACTTAGCCTCTGTATGTGCTCCCTGCCCAAGCACTTTTCTCCCTTCTTTCTCCTGAAGGAGACTGTAAATGAGTGTCAGGATTAGATTTGAATAAGAAACTTCAGTCTGATATACAGGGGAGGGATTGGGGAAGGAATAGACTAAGAGGCAGAAGAACCCTGTTGGAGTCTATGTATCCATCCTGGTCTGAAATCTTGTGGTCCTGAATAAATATATAGTAGAAATGGAGAAGAGGTATTCTAAAATACCTAAAAGAAGAGGCATTCTAAATATCTAAAAAAGAGGTATCAAAAGGACTTGGTAATCTCTTCCAAGAAGATGAGTAAGCAGGGATGAGGGAGTAGGAGAAAGCAAGGATGAGTAACAGGCTGCTGCTATGGGCGACAGCTGACCACCCATACATCTACTCTCTCAATGTTGTTGGCCCTAGGTGGGTTTATGTCTGTAGTTACTTGCTTTTAACTTGTATCCCCAATTGACAGATAAATTTATGTGGCCACCCTAGTAGTGGTGATACCATTGAGAACTCTAGGGAAGAGATAGGTTAAAGAGAGCTTTTGGAATTAACTATATTTCAGATGCTTGTCTTGCAACTGTATTAATCCCTTCATATCTTTGTTCAACTCTCTCCTTTTAATTGATGTCCCCCCCACTGTCGAATCTTTCATCCTGTCCCCTTGACAGATGCCCAGTCTTCCTTTCCATGCTCTTTGTTTTAATGCTACAGCTTAATCTCGTACTGTAGTATTAATGTGCACTTTAGAGCAAGTTATGACTATTGCCTGATGTCTGCTAGGATGGAAGCTTCTGAAAGCCAAGGGACTAAATCTCTTCTGTCCATTGTACATTGCCAGCTCCTACAACAGTATCTGCTATTTATTAGGTGACCAGTGAATAAATTTAACAAATATGTATTGCAAGCCTACTGCCTGCTAGGATTCCCAATTGAAAGTGTGTCACGTGTTTCTAGGGCTTCAAAGAGGGACTGGGCTAGTTATAAAATGTATATTAATAGCAAGTAGATAAGGTCTGAAGATGTGGCCTATTTAATACTCTTTAGGGAAATCATTTGAAGTAAGATAAGAATAAAACACAGGACTGGACTTAGAGTTCAAGAGCAATTAGAAGGTATAAGAAGAGAAAGTTGGTTAGAAACTGAATAGTAACAGCCAATGAAATAAGTGAAGCCAGGAAAGGGTAGTGTGGTAGAAACTGAAAAGGATTTGAAAGAATTTTTATGGAGGAAATTATAAAAAATATGAAACATTTAAAATTATTCAAGTAAAGCCTGGGTAATTGCCATAAAATTTATTAGCAAGATAGTTGTGTTGGACTGAACTGTGTTCCCTGCCTTTCAAAGTCATCTGTTAAAGTCCTTAACTCCAAGTGTGACTATATTTGGAGTTATAGCCTTAAAGAGGTAATTAAGCTTTAATGAGGTTGTGAAAGTGGGACCCTAATTCAACAGGACTGGTGGACACACCTGTACAAAAGAAATGCCATGTAAAGACAAAGCAAGCAGGAAGCAATCTGCACACCGAGGAGAATGAGACCTTGGGAGAAACCAACCATGATGAAAACCCAGTCTTGGACTCCAAATCCCAGAACTGTGGAAATGAATTTCTGTTGTTTGAGTTATCCAGCTCTGTGTTGTATTGTTATGGGAACCTGATATAACTAATACCATTGTCATTACTGGAATGTTGTGATTAGAGTCAGCAATTTTCATAAATAATGCAAGCTGACACCATGCATCAGAAAGTAAAGAACTGCATGGAGGATGAGCTTAATCACTTTCTATAGAACAACAGTGATGTGGGAGGATACAAATGATCCAGGAACCAGAGGCTGTGTTGAAACCCTGGGACCATACTACTAAAATTTCCAAAAGACAAGCTGATCATCATTATACTATGATTTGCAGGATTATGCATGTTGATTAGGGCATATTTATTTGTTTTGTAACTGAAGGAAATTCTTGAGTGTTTTAAATTTAAGACAGGAGAATCTTACAAGGACATTATTAGCCATAAAGCTGGTATTCTTTTTGTGTTATTTCAGGGTCACTGAATCAGCCTAGACCTCCTAACCTAAATCATATCAGGTTGATGCTGGGCCCCAAGCAATGGAAAGTAGATGACTTTTTGAAGTCATAGACTCAGAATTTTAAAATGCACTTTTATGTCTTTTTCAAATAATTTATCATTTACAATTTAAAGCTAGAGCTGAATTTTTCTTTCTAGAGGGCACAGTTTGTTCCCCTTGATCGAATTTTCTTGACTAAGGGTATTATACTTTTCAAAGTGGATTTGGAATGTTTTGTCCTTATTCCTCTCTTCCTCTCAAGGTAGATGTTCCTGCAGTTACTCTACAACTTCCTAGTATCACCCATGTCCATCACAGGACAAATGTACTATTCATCTCCAAATTAATAGTATTAATAAAACATACATTTTACCCACATTACCCAACCTGTACCCCTTTCTCTGTTACTTTTTATAGCAAAACTCCTCAAAGATCTTAGTTACAGCCACTCTCTGAATTCCTTTGCCATCTATTCTCCTCTCTACTTTTTCCAATCAGGTTGGGTTTAGGTTGTTGTTGACTTCTATCTTGTCATATCCAGTGGTTTCATTGTCTATATTCATCTCTTTTAATCATTTACTACAGTTGGCTACTCATTCTTTCCTTATAAAACATTTATTTTCTTTTGGGGACAATATTCTCCTGATTTTCCTCCTACATTACTTTTTTGCATATCTGACTACCTGTCAAGATTCCTTAGCTTTGAAGTTTAGAATAGCCTAAATTTAAGTCTCTTAGCCTCTCACCTTGTCTATAGAACCCACTCATTATATGAGTTCATGGCTGGGTGTATCGCCTCTAAGATGGTGACTTCTCAACTTTTCCCCTGGGCTTCCATGGACATCAACATGTTCTAAAAAAGCAAACCTCTTTCTCTTTAACCGAATTCTTATCATTTATATTCTACCAAAATTTAGCATTCATCCTTGAAGGGTTTTTTTTTTTGTTTTTATTAATCAATCACTGAATTGTATTTGCTCTACCTTAAAATGAGATACAATTCCAGCCTCTTCTAACTATCCCCACTGACACCATTATCATGTCCTTCATGGATAACTGAAATAAACTCTTAACTGGTATCCTTGCTTCTATGCTTTCCTTAATAATATATCTTTCCACAGAATAGTCAAGATAAGTCATATCAAGTTACCCACTGAACACACTGTCCTTGCTCCTCTGGATATGTGATGGTTTGCAGTTATCGATCTTCTTGTGCGTGGATAGACTCACGTGTTATTCTTTGGCCAATGGGATTTGAACAGAAATGACACTTGTATTACTGGGTTGAAGCATTTAGTCTAAGATGCTCCAGAGTGTACCTTTCCTACCATCACAGAAACTGATATATCCCAAGGGCTAGTGTTGTGGTGTAGCAGGTTAAGTCACCATTGCAATACCTGGCATACCATTTTTGGAGTGCCATTTCAAGTGGAAGACAGCAGGTGTGGCTTAAGTACTTGGGCCCCTGCCACCCGTGTAAGAGACCAGGATGGAAGTTTTAGCTCCTGACTTCAGCCCGACCTGACCTGGACTTTGTGGCCATTTGGGGGG